TGGTGACATCATGCAAAGTCCCCAAAACTAGAAAAATCACAAAAACTTGTCAGAGAAATGGAAATTGACTCAACATGGCTGGATAGTTGGATGCTTTTATTCTTAAAGAAAAGAAAATCATGGATTACAAAATTAGGGTGTTTACACTTGGACTAGAGAAAAAAATTAGAATTTGTACTAAGGGCAGTTGCTTCAGCAATTCATCTACAATTAAAGAACATTATCTTCTATGGCTTAATTGAAGAACATTATCTCCTGTCAGATATGTGCACTTTCAACCAGTCATTTTCCTTCCCCTGCCTTTGTTTGCCATTGATTGTTCTTCTTTGTAGCATTTAGCAGAGAAATACTCCCTTAATATCCAAGATTTTGCTTGCTTTTCCTTCCGTTCTTCCATCAGTTTTTTTCTCCTTCCATACATCTCTTCTCTGGATGTATAAACATGCTCACAGTTGCTGTAGCCAAGAAATCTAAAATTTATACTTTCCCTTTGATCCCATAAAATTTAGCTTCTACTTCACTCATTACTCAGGAAACAACTTCAAGTTTACTGACATAAAAGTAGAACATGCTCTTTGATATGGGTTTTCCATTCACTTGATGCCCTTTCATAACAAGTTATTGGTCTCACTTATTGGGGCAGAGGGCAATAGCATTACATGTGCTTCTCACCATAGCCATGTTCCCTGCAGTAATCACAGGGTCGTGCTTGCACCTGTTACTGCGGCAAGCACATGTATTAAGCACAAGGAGAGTGCTGGCATAAAAATGTTTATACCACCTGAAGAATAGTCCAAAGGATTTGCTTTAAGTGTAATAGACATGCACGCTGACTTTTCAGGACATGTGCAGTCAAACACAGCACCTTACACTTTCATTAACAGAGACATTGGGCAGACACTTTGTGATTTACTAACAATAATGATATTTAGGTTTCAATTTTATTTTCTCAAACTAAAGGCTTGGAGTTCCAACATCCCATATTTCACATATACTGCAACTCAGTGAGTCAAAAATAGAAAAATTCTCTCTCCTGGTCCCTTCCAGAGCCTATTTATTTTCCAGTGCCCTGGCCCAGTCAATGATATCACCGTTCAGACAGCTGTTCAAATCCAATAACTCTTTAACACACAATGACCAATCTCTCTCTAATCACTATCCTCAGTCTATTTTGAATCTTCCTACTTCTTCACACATTACCGCTCTCGTTCAGAGTTCTACCATGTCTTGAACAACCAGGAGCAAAAGCCTCATAAAGAACTGCTGCCTCCAGATTTACGCCTCCAACCTGTACCCCTCATTTCAGTCTGGTTAACCATTCTTGGACACAAACTGTCTCTGCAGTCCTCTGTCCAGAGTTGCCTTGGGGACTGCTGCTTCTCCTGTCTAGGGTCTCCTCCCAGATTCCCATGTGAAAATATCTGCATCCTACTTTCTAAACCTACTGCTATCAATTTTCTTGTACTAATTTCAATGTGTCAGTCACTTGATCCCTCACTCTAAATATAATATTTTGCATTTAGTGGGTTCAATTTTTCAACATTATACATGATAATCTTCTTTTTTTGGTTTTTTTTTTTTTTGGTACTGAGAATCAAACTCAGGACCTTGCACTTGCTGGGCGGACGCTTATGCCACTGAGCTACATCCCCAGCCCATACATGACCATCTTTACTGCAAAAATATAGATTAGTATTTCCCCTTGTACCCAACACACAATAGAGTTCTCCATTAGCAAGTGTCACTTTGCACATGTTAAATGGTGGATTCACACATGGTTCACGTAGCTGTCAAGAACACTGGCTTTGAGATGTGATGCAACTAATTTTAAAGCCTACATCTAAAACAGGTCAGGTGATCCTAGACGAAGTTCCTAATTTCCCAAAGTTTTACACTCTTCTATGTCAGGAGATGTGAACAACCCTGAGTGAATGGCTCATATAAAAGTCATGGGTCACACTGACATGGTACAAGTGGGAAGGAGTGGGCAGAAGAGGCTGGGTACCCACATGCAGTTCCCCAAAGCATCCTCTAGTTCAGAGGAGACCTGTTTAATTGGGCATGGTTGGGAGTTCCCTGGCTGTGATCCAGGAAAGAGCTTGCCCATACCCCAGGCCCTTTCTCCTTGTTGGGGCTGCAGGAAATGGCTTCATGTGACTGGAGAAAATCCAACCTGAGCTTGGATGTGTGCTACTCATGCAGATTTGCAGCCAAAATTTTGCAGCTGGATGCTTGTGCTGATAGCACCTGAGCCCTTTCTTCTGAGGGCAAGAAACCAGTGCTGCCAGCTAGCAATTCCTGTGCCAGAACACCCACAGTAGGCTCGATGCCTCATTCAGCAGACAGTTCTACTTATCTTTTCTCACTCCTTCCTGAAATGGTGATAATCATGCTCCTACTTCACTGGATGGCTGGGACTAAATCAGAATAGTCTCGGACAAATAACTGTTCACTAGATGATAGCTACATTGGACCTTATTTAACAAATTAATATTTTTGCAAGGCAAGTGCTGTGAGTAGGTGGAGAATGTGATTATTATGGTCACATATACAGGAGAGAAAAGTCCATCTGCTCAAATACTTGTCTAAAAGGTCTTTATACCCCACCCACTCTTGGATTTATTTCTGGTTATTTATGAGTATATTTTTTCAGTAAGTGTATGACTTTTTCTCCCTTAATAATAATTTTAAATTACACAATCACC